CCCCCAGGGCAGAAGCGGTGCTTTGCGAGGCGACGCCGGTCCGATAAGTAAAACAGCCTTCGAGGCCGCATGAAAGTAAATGCAGACGTCAAGAAAAATAGGAAACGGCAAGGATTGGAGCCAGGTGTCCGGAGCCGTGTGCGGATTTGACCCGGCTGGGGGGCGCAGCCTGTCATCCCAGCACTCTGGCAGGCCGAGGCAAGTGATTGCCTGAGCCGCGGGTTCGAGACCAGCCCCGGCAACTGGGCAGAAACTCTTCTCTACAATAAATGAGTAGAAAAGATTAGCCGGCTGTGGTAGCATGTGTCTGCAGTTCCAGCTACTTGGAAGGCTGGGGTGGAAGGATCGCCAGAGCCCAGCAGGTCGACGCTGGGGTGGCTGTGAGTGTGCCACTGCACTCCAACCTAGCGACACAGTAAGACTCCAAAGAGTCTAGATTTGCCTAATTACCAAGAGAATCTAGAAATCTCCAGTTTTTGGTAAATTTCCTGTATTTTTACCACAGCTCAGACTTAACATGACAGCCGATTTTAAGCTTCTAGGTATAGAATCATATCAGCCACAAAGAGAGATGCCTCTTTTCATATTTGGACTTTTTCTCTTCTTGCCTGATTGTTCTGGATAGGACTGCCAGTACTAGATTGAATAGCAGGAGTGAGAGTCTTGTCTTGTTCCTTGTCTTGTCTTGTTCCGGCTTCTGCCTGTTCAGCAAAATGTTCGCTGTGGGTTTATCATAGGTGGCTCTTACTGTTTTGCACCATATTCTTTCTGTGCCTAGGTGTTGGAAGGTTTTTATCAAGAAGAGATGCTGGATTTTATTGAGTGCTTTTTCCGCATCTATTGAAATAATCATGGTTTTACTCCTGTTAATGTGCTCAATTATGCCCATGGTCTTGTGAATGTGAATCAGCCCTGTATGCCAGGAATGAAGCCCACCTGGTCCTGGTGAATGAGCCTCGTAATGTGTTGTTGGATCCGATTTGCTGGAATCTTGCTGGGAATTTTTGCATCTGTGTTCAGGGAAACTGGCCTGTAATTCTCTTTTCTTGTTGGGTCCTTGCCACAAGTTTGCGGTATCGGTATGATACTGGCTTCATAAAATGAGCTAAGGATAATTCCTTTCTTCTTGATTTCCTGGAACGCTTTCAATAAGATTGGTATCAGCTCTTCCTTGTATGTCTTGTAGAATTCAGGTGAGATGTCATCTGGTCCAGGTCTCTCTTTTTTTGGCAGGGAGGTTTCTTATAACTGAGTTGATTTCCTGGATTGTTATCGGTCTGTTTAAGGTTTCAATTTCTTCTTGTTTCCAACTTAGGAGATGGTGTGGTGCTCACACAGGTATTTAAATTCTTAACCAATGGCCTGTTTTTTAAAAAATAAAATCTGTTGTTTCTTAGTGAAATTTTGAAATATGAAAATACTAGTATGTAATAAATGCATTGTTTTGAAATTGCTTGCCATGTGGAGATCTCTAAAATGTGTTGCCCGTTTCTGTTACCTCTTTTATGCTTTAAATGTAGAGCTTTTGAAGAGAAACGAAAGGAGCAAGAGGAAAAAGAATACCAAATCAGAGAACAGATACTTCAGCAAAGAAAACAGAAGTTTGAAGAAGTTACTGAAAAGTTTCAGCGTGCCCATATTCCTCTTTCACAGCGAAGGAGAGCAGGTGCCTTGATTTCTGGAACAATATGAGGAGGAAAATTAAAGTCTTATCACATTTGACTTGAGTATATGATACAATGGTAAATTAAGAAATAAAGTGAGCTGGGCTCGCTGGCTCAGCCTGTAATCCCATGCTTTGGGAGGCTGAGGTGAGTGGATTGCCTGAGCCCGCGAGTTCGTGACCCGCCTGGGCAACTTGGCAAGACCTCATCTCTACAATAAATCAAAAATTTAGCAGGGCATGGTAGCACGCGCCTGTAGCTCCAGCTCCTTGGAAGGCTGAGGCAGAAGGATCGCTGGGGCCCAGCGGGTCGAGGCTGCAGTGGCCGGGAGTGGCCTCTGCACTCCACTCTGGGCGACAGAGTAAGACTCCAACTCAAAAGAAAGAAAGAAAGTGGAAACTTAAATTAAAAATACCAATATGTTTCCTGAGTAATAGGACTTTAACCAAAATAATAATAATAATAATACTTTTATTTATGTTTAAGTTGGAGACTATTTTGTTGGCTTTATTAGTAAATTCTGGAAGCTCACAAGTTTGATTCGACTTAAACTGACTTACAATGTTTTCTCTTTTTAAAATCTAGTAAGTAGCTTAATAAAAAGAAATTGAACATTTGAATTCAGGACATTTGTGCAACATTCCTTCTAACATTTTATTCACAGTTTAGTTCAAATCTGAGAGGCTGGCAGAACAAAAAAAAGTTCTACAAAGTAATATAATCTGGCAATCTAAAGACCTGGAACCAATTCAGAATTTAAATATGATTATGGTTGGCTCTTTGGTATCATATCTGCATTTTTATACCTTAAATAGGAAGCATTAACAATATGTCAAAGGAAAAGAAAAAGGATAAGCAGAGCCTTTATGTATTAGCTTACATATACTGTGTTATACTTAGTCCTGGGCTAAGCTGAGATACAGAGAAATCTAATTGTGTTCTACCATTAAAGATCTCACAACCTGTTTTGGAGACGAGAGGAAGATAAACTATTAATGTAAATGATGTAATGATAATTGCTTTAGTTAGAAGAATGTGCAAAGTACTATGAGAGTACAGAGGAAAGAACACTAAACCATGTGTGGACATTATTCCTAGAACAGGGACTTAAGTTGGATCTAGAAGAACAACGAGCCTTTTGCAAAACAAAGAGAAAATAAAAGGGCATCCCAGACAGAAGGAACAGCTTGTGCAAATAAATTGTGTATTTTAGTGTATTTGAAGCACGGGATGAGAAAAAAGAGAAGAAAAATTAATATGAGGCTAGACAAAATAAGTTGGAGCCAATTCTCAAAAAACCTCATATGCCATACTAGGAATTTCATCTTTATGCGAAAGGCTGTCCACTTAGATTTTTTTAGCTGGAAAGCAAGATATTACTATGTCAGTCACGGGTCTTACTGTTAATAAAGACAGCTAGTAAAACTGCCCCAAAATAACAGTAGCTAAAACATGATAAGGGTTTATTTTTTTCTCACCTAATGTGGAGTCCTAAGGTAGGCAGTCAGGAGCTGGTGTAGGGTCATGTGAGGTCAATGGTGAACCAGACTCACTCTGTCTCTCGGCGCAACTGTCTTCAGTATATGGTGTAGTAAACCACAGACTAAGTATAAGCCTTATTTACACTCTCCTGGTCACATGGTGGCTGCTAGAACTTCAGCAGGAAGGAAGAAGAGGAAAAGACGAAAGTGCCTACCTCCGGACTCCCTAAAGCCCCCCATCTATCTGTTTTTATTGAAGTGGCAACTTCATTTGCAAGAAAGTCTGAAATTATGGTCTTTTTTTTTTAATACAGGTATTTGCCACCGCTGACAGTATAGGGTCTGTTACCAAGGAAGAAAGGAAAATGGGTGTTAGGTGGGAAACTAGGGGTCTCTGCTATATTTAGGTTCGTGTGTTAGATAGATATTTAGTTACAATGTGGAATATAGATTGAAGTAGAGACTTACTAAAGTAGATAGACTTGTTGGAGACTGTTTAATTGTAGGAGGAGGTGTTAAGCTTATAAATTAAAGCAACGGATGTAGACATAAGAGATAATATATTCAGATGATGCAATAAATAGGGTTCAGTTACTAATTGATCCAGAGTGGTAGAAGAAAGGTTAGGAGGAGAACTTAGCAGAGAGCCATATATATATATATTGTTTTGTTTTGTTTGGGGTTTTTTGAGCTGGAGTCTCACTCTGTCATCCAGGCTGGTTTGCAGTGGCACACTTACGGCCACCCCAGCGTTGACCCGCTGGGCTCTGACAATCCTTCCACCTCAGGCTTCCAAGCAGCCAGAACTACAGGCGTGTGCTACCACACCCGGCTAATTTTTTATTTATTGTAGAGACGCGGTCTCTCCAAGTTGCCTGGGCTGGTCTCAAACCCGGGGTCTCAGGCCATCCACTCACCTCAGCCTCCCAAAATGCTGGGATTACAGGCTGAGTCACCGAGCCTGGCCTGCCTCATATATTTTAAACACTTGATAAATAGTTTTTAAATCAATGAATTATTTTGGTGGATGATAGTGATATTAATCAAGGTTATCAATAAAAGAGGAGAATCAGATTAGAGGTACAAAGATCATGTATTAAATCTTAATTATATTGATTTTGAGCTACCCGTGGCATGTCTAAATGGGGAAATCAAATCAGCAACTAGAAATATGGGTCTGAAACTCAAAACAAAGATATGGAATAGAAATGTATATTTAAGAATCACTAATGAATAGATATATAGTTGATAAATGAAGCCGTAGGGAAGATACGCTAAACAAACAACCAAGTACAGACCAGAGATTAAGATTAAGCTAGAACCTTAAAACACATGAGCATTTGCTGTAGGTAGGGCAAGAAGAACTAGAAATGGATTCTGAGAAGTGGGAATCAAGAAAGCAGGAGAGAAATTAAAAGGAACAGAGAAAATAAGTATAAGAAGGCAATATAACAAAATAATATATGAGAAGGTATTAATAGTTTAAAGAAAGAAAATGTGATTAGTAGTGTTAAATGCCTCAGAAAAGTAGTCACCCCTCACAGGCACTGTTTACCCTAGAGAAGGTGCTGACTATCCTAGGTTCTGGGTACAAAACATCAGGAGTTTCTGCAAAAACAAGCAGCATACACATCCACACGATGGAATAGCGTGCAACCCTTAAACAAATAATGTGGAAACTCTCTACGGACCAATCTGGAAAGAGCTCCAGCAGAAGTAGGTCTACTATGAAACTAACAAGGCCTTAAGTTTCAGGACCCCTCATTGCTATGGCCCCTACATCTTATTTTATTTTGATCATTCTGCATTGTTTGTTCTTAATGAAGGCTCTCAAATTGTATAAGCCTTATATTCTCATAAAACCTGGATCTATCCCCAATCTCCAGGACATAGTGTGTGTAAAAATAAGGTTAAGAACAAAATATGTAATATTCTGCCTTCTTTGAAAGAAAAGGGGAAAATTAGAATATATTTCCTTATGTTTGCATGAAGAAACAGTGACTGAATACACAAATGACTAGTGAGAACAAGACTTCCAAATGTATTTTTTGTATATATAAGTATATATTTACATTACATGTAAATATAGAGATCTTATTATACAAAGGGCAGTGTTCATGTTGTCACTATGAAGACTGCAAGGAAGATACCTTTGAAGAAACATTTGTTTTACCTTCTGCCCAGTCGTGAACTCATCTCATACATGTGTTGGAAATAATTCTGCCCAAAGTCAACTAAGTTCTATTTTATAATGTTGAAATTAAAAATAAAAAAAAAAAAGACTGCAGAGAGCTAGCTAGTCTATCATGTGAGGACACAGCTCAAAGGCACCCTCTGTGTAGAAGGAGACCCTCACGAGGCACCGCCAGTGCCAGGATCTTGGACTTCCCAGCTTCATGAACTGTGAGAAATAAATTTCTCTTGTTTTCCATTTACCAGTCTAAGATATTTGTTACAGCAGTCTGAACAGAGTAAAATCTAAAACTTGACAGTGTCAGCTCCAAGAGTACTGGTCACTTGGGACTTGGATTTCAGCCACCATCCCATCAGTGTGCATTCCTCAACAGCATTTCTGTCTTCGCCGGTTGACTGGTGAAATGGATCATCTCTAGGGTTCAGTTTTGAACCAAGCCTTCCATAAGAATATACTGTTTTTGCTGAACCCTTTTAAGGTAAATTATTAGAAGTCTGATGACACATGGATCTTTTAAAGAAGACAAGAGGAAAAACAGTTTGGAAGTGTCATTGGCGAGATAAAGTCAGAATACCTTCCTTTTTTTTGATAGAAATATTTATAAAATTTGCCAGAAATTCATGGGACAGTGAAATCAAATAGAGGGATTTGCATGCCAGAATAAAGAGCCTAGACATTTCTCAAAGTTTCCTTTTTCCAGACAAATATTCATAAAATGGTGATAAAAATTTTGAGGACACAGTGTCTCTTTGGGAATTTGATGTCAAAATTTGAAGTATTTAGCTGGGCTTGGTGGCTCAGCCTGTAATCCCAGTGCTTTGGAAGGCTGAGTGGATTGCCTGAGCCCGCAGGTTCGAGACCCGCCTGGGCAACTTGGCAAGACCTCATCTCTACAATAAATCAAAAATTAGCCGGGCATGGTAGTGCACGCCTGTAGTTCCAGCTACTTGGAAGGCTGAGGTGGAAGGATTGCCAGAGCCCAGCAGGTCTGAGTGACAGAGTGAGACTCTAACTCAAAAAAAAATAAAATTGAAGTATTTGCAATATTTAAAAAATGTTTCACATTACAAAAGTTTAAAAGTAATATATTATTGACCAACTAAATTATATATAGAGAGAGCCCATTGAAGATAAAGTGATTCTGTGCTATCTAATCTTTATTATTTCCGTAGTTTTCCAAAAACCAGTTCCTCCTTTAGAAGAGGCCCTCCAACAAATTCAGGAATTCAACTTAAAATCAGAAATAAATCTTCCCTTTTCTCACAGACCAGCGATGAACTGGAGGTAAGTACTTACTAGAAGGTGTAATTATCAATGTGCAATAATTATATAACTTTATAGTTGCTCAATTTGTAGGCCTTTTCCTCAGTGATTCCTCACCTCTGTTTTAGAGTTTGTTATTTTATTTTCACAGATTAAATATTTAGTGTTACTACCTACATAGAATTAGATCAGGCAACGTAAGGGGACATAAAGAAGTATACAGCTGTGGAATACAATCCCCAGTGAAATAATGCTTCAAAAAGTATAGAATAGCACCACATGCATAATGATAAGGATATTTAACATCTGTTTATATAAAGACATTTATAATTCAGACAGTACATTCTGGTAATTATTTTACCTTTGCATAATGTTATTCCATTTTTAGAACACCTGTGATCACAAATTCCCTTGCTCAGGACTAAAGCAAAATAAATACATCCTCTCAGGCTGCACTAGAGTTCAGGAAAGACCTCGTGGAATCGAGAACTTTTCAACAGAGCTTTAAAGAAAATAAAAATTAATTATGGAACGAGTGGGTGGATGACTTTCCAGACGGAGGGATGAGCATATGCAAAGGCCAAAAGTCACAGAAGGCATGCTGTATAAGGGTGAGAGATGGGTGAATCATAGATGCACAATACTGATCGCTGGCTAGATGTAAGAGCGGAGAGGTAAATGCATCTGTATGCCAAGGAGTGTAAACTTATCCTGGAAGTTTAGGAGGAACAGTGGAGGATTTTAAGTGGGCGGGTGATAAGAAAGCCAGCAAAGGATGCTGAAGCACCCCTAGAACTGACACAGAATCAATGTTACTAGCACACACTGAACTAGGAAGAATGGCAGCTCTCGAAGAGGGAGGAGGCTGGGCAGGACCCATGGTCATAGGCAGAGGACACAGCCAATGGGGAACTACGTCCAGAAGGGAGGAAGTCAGAGGAATCATCATCCAAACCCCTTTCTTCTGTCACCTCCATTGCCTGCTTTTACCTTCCATTGGCCAAACCATAAGTCAAAGAGCAGGGGATCGTTCAGTCTCTTAGAACACAGAGTCAAGTGGAGAAGTGTGGCAAGTTGATCTTGAGGGGCAAAGAGAATGTCTGGCATAGAATCAATGCGTCTCCCATTTTCAAAAACCTGGCAACTTTTGTCAGAGCTAAAGTGGAGTGGTAGAGACAGAGAGGAGATTGCACTGAGATGAAGAGAGATGGAGAGCAAAACAGATGACAAGCGTAGTTTGGCTATGAAAGTAAAAGCGTGATGGGACAATAGCCAGAGGAGATGTGGGGCCAAGATGCGGCTTTTCCCTTAAGAGAGATTTTATCGTGTTTAAATATGAGTGTTGAAATGATGAATTTCAGTCTAGAAAGGTAGAGTAGGATAAAAACGTGAAATGTCTCAAGGACCTATTCTGTGCTGGATGGTGATTAGCCCAGGGTTTGCACTTACTTTATGATACTGTGTAATGCTATATACATGTAATGCTTTGTAATGGGGGCTGTTACAGGAATATTAGCAAAGTAATAAAGTTCAAAACTGAAGTTAGCAAGTACTCTTAAGGGATGAGTAAGAACTGTCTAGCAAAGGAGCACGGGTTGGGTTTTAGGCGTGCGCAGTTACAGTTTGTGAAAGGCACGTTCTTCTATGGAAATAGAACATGGTCAGAGTGACAGGACTGTAGGATGTGTTGCGGATAACAAGACAGGAGGTGATCTCGAAATATAGATTGAAATCCAGTGTGAAATGCTTGTGCATCTAGGTAGGGAGTTTGAACTTTATCCTATAATCAGTAAGGAGCCAATGGAGGTTTGTAAGCAGGGAGTGATATCATCTTCTTTATTAATTTAGAAAAATAGATGGCACAAATATTGGAGAATAGAGTGTATGGAGGGAAATTGGAAGCAAGGAGACCAGAGAGAAAATTATTGGGATAATCCAAGGGCTACCTTATGACTGCCTAAACTAGAACAGTGATGTTTTATATAGTGAAGAAAGGATAGTTCTGATCTGATAAAGAATAAAAAGATGGCCAGACACGGTGGCTCAAGCCTGTAATCCCAGCACTTTGGGAGGCCGTGGTGAGGGGATGGGCTGAGCCCACGGGTTCGGGAACAGCCTGGGCAACTTGGTGAAACCTCATCTCTAAAATAAGTAAAAAAAAAAAAAACTAGCTGGGCATAGTGGCACATGCCTGTGGTTCTGGCTACTTGGAAAGCTGAGGCAGAAGGATCACCAGAGCCTAGCAGTTCGACGCTGGGGTGGCCGTAAGCATGCCCCTGCACTCTAGCCTGGGTGACAGAGTGAGACTCCAACTCAAAAAAAAAGAATAAAAAGATCTCGAGTGTTTAGGAGAGAATGAGAGAGAAGAAAGGATTAAAACAATGCCTGTCATCATGCAGAGGAGTGGCATAAAGAAATAGGAGGCTAAGGACATTGATCAAGCAGAAATATAAGGACCAGAGTATAGAGAGAATAGTAGCTGGAAAGTTAGGAAGTGTCTGGCCTTTGGTTTAAAGGACTTGTGTTAGAAGGGTGATAGTAAGGCAGGCAGAAAAGCTCGAGAGAAAAGATATTTCATGGAGAGACTAGATGATGACTTGGATGTGTGATCGGATAAAGAAAGTGAAAAGCAGCACAAGTCCATGGAGCTGAAATTTTGAGTCTTGAAGATTAAGGAACTGCGATGACTTTTGAAAAGTTCTGCTTAAACCTTCTGAATCAAGAGGACAAATATCAATGTAGGAATGTGTAGAAACAATTTGACCAAAAATGAGGTGAGAGGTCAAGGCTATAGAGATGGATTAGAAAGTTATGATTGTTGTTGCTTAATTTTATGTGCACCTCTGTCCCCCCAACAAGATAGTAATATTCTAGAAGACAGTGTCTATCTCCCACATGCAGGTATTCACTGTAGTAGTACTTAGTTCATCACAATGCGCGTTAGAAGTATTCAGCAACTACTTTGAATGGAGAAATGTCACGGACATAAGTGAGCACTTGTCAGAGGGTGTAAACGTGGCCTGAAGTTTAACAGATGCAGAGGATATTCGTCTGAGACAAACACTGAGAAGGAACTTCAGACAGAAGGAGAATCCATGTGTGAAAAGGCATAGAGGCGTGAAAGGCTGTTGTGTTAAGAGAGCTGCTGGGAGTTCAGTCTGGCTTGCGCGTACAGTGGGAAGAGCGTTGTGGGCCAGTAGGTTGAAAGGAAGCCATGAGTTAAATCATGAAGAGCGGTGCTAAAGAGTTTGTTTTAAAACAATTACTGAAAGATTTGAAGCAAACACACATCATACAGTTTAGAAACATTGCCAGAATGGAAAAGAACAGAGTATGACTAAAAGTGGAAAAGTCAGATAAAGCGGCCCTTGAGTTAGTGGCAACGATGACTTCTTGAAAGCTATCTAGGAAGTAGAGCCAACATGATTTGGTGACTGTCTAAGACCCAGGAGGTGACTGGGAGGACTCCAAGGTGACTCCAGAGAGTAGGTTTGGTCAGTGAACAGAGCGTGAAACCACTTAGCAAAATAAGAATTATGAGATTAAGAGGGCCGAGCTCACAGTAAAGAATGTTTTAAATGAATATGAGAGAAAGTTTAGGGGAGGGAGTAGTTAGAAGGAGGGTGATAAGTTGTGCGTTTGAGCCAGTATCTCCAGGTAAGAATGTCGACATGACAGTCATCAATCAGTGAATGAAACTAAAGTTGTGGCTCCATATCCACCATTGCTGGTCTTGTGTTCAACTAAAAATCAAACTACCATAACTACATACGGTAGATCATGTTTGTCTTCATTTAAAGAAGAGCAGAACACACTGCATGCCAGCAAGACCACATTCTTCAATAGCAGGAATCCTCATAGCAGCCCATAAAGCGGCTGAGGGGCTTGTCTTCGCTGTGTTTCTACCCCCTGCACGTGACCGCTCAGCTGTGAGGATCCCAGTGTAAGATCACAATGCATGGGTGGCTCTCCACCGTGGATTAGAAACCCATGTTCCAAATAGGAACCAGTGTTTCTTGTGAGGGCTCTGTATGAATAGCGTCAAGGACCCTGGGAGAGACACTCCCAGTAAACAGCATGACCATCCTCAGGGAGACCCTAAACCATAGCTTCCTGGGAGGTCTCTAAGGTTTATTCATAGTTCTGTTAGTCCAGAGGCAGTTTACCAACAAAGGGTCATTTTTACCATAATCGACGGCCACTGCACTCCAGTCTGGGCGACAGAGTGAGACTCCAACTCAAAAGAAAAAAAAACATAGCTCAAATCCTGCTAATAATGTGGAAAACAGACTTAAAAAGTTACTCATAGTTGAACTGGTCCATAAAAAGAATGGATTTTGTTCACCCTTTACTCACACACAGACATAGGTAAGATCACACAGACTGGAGATAAGGCTACACAGACAGTATGGGTATAGTAAGAAAAGAAGGCCACGAAACTCAAAAATGCCAGCATATAAAGGGCCAGCAAAGAAAGGGGAGCTCAAGAAAGAGCCTGAGAAGGAACAACCAGAAATGCAGGAAAATAACCAGGAGAGCATGCTGAGATGGAAACCAGATGACTTAGAGTCAGGAAGAGAGTGGTCAAGAGGTGTTGCAATTATTAGGTCAATTAGTTAATCACCAGCAAAGCAGTACGTTGAAGTGGTGGAGGCGGGAACCAGAGAGCAGTGGATTGAGGAAAAGATGGCAGTTGGGAAGCGAAGGCAGCGTCGCGCTAGAGCGGTCTGGGAAGGCTCAGCTGAAAAGAGAAGACCACAGGCAGTGAGAGGGGTCCGGGATTCGGGGGGAATTTAGACTGAGGACAGAATTCTAAAACCGCTTCGTCCGCAAGTGATGTGCACTTTTATACAGGCATTCGTCACTTTCACTTTTGTGTGTTTTTTTCTGTGTATCACTTGTTATCCTTTATGTTAGTCAGATATTTTTGGGTTTTAAGAAAAGATTTTGTGTAATGAGTGAAAGCATAGACATTCCTCTTGTTTGACAGAGTGCGGCTGCGCAAAGTCATAGAAGAGCTAAGCTGTCAGAGCAACTTTTATTTTCATGTAGCAAACAAACATCTAGAGTTACAGCAAATCTCTCTAGGATCATTCAGTAATATATGTATTTGCTTTACAAGACATGCTCTTCATCCTGCGTTAGAGTACAATGCCTAGGTAGTTTCCATGTGGCTATTTTCGTATGCTATTATGACTACGGTGGTATCTATGCGTGTGTGTGTATGTTTATATAGATCACATAAATGTTATATATTTGGAAAACAACAGATGTATACAACGTAATAGAGTGAACACTATGATTTACTTATTAAAAAGTTGAACTTCTCTCCACAGATAGCTAACAGTATTAAGTAATGTATATGGAAGTACTTTGTAAACTATAAAATGGAACAAAGATAGAGATACTGGAATATTAAGAATCAGGTGTTAGTTTAATGGAATTATTTATGTTTATTGAAGCTACAAATATTGATAAACAGCTATCACATTAAAATACACTTTCAGTGGGATATAAACCTAAAATTTGTTAAGGAATAAAGTCATGCAAAGAAACAGGGAGCTTCCAAAGAAGGAGAGATGTATCAGTATTCATAAAAGGTTGTTCCCATGTGAAAACATGTTAGTGGCAGATAAAAATAATTTAAGATATTGGCAGTGTGGTCGTCTAAAGGGGAAAAAAGTATGAAAAAGTACAGGTCATTTAATGTTTAAGCCTCTAAGAAAAAATCGGAGAATGTGGTCTTATGAACATAGTAGCTGCTTCAGCAAATCGAGAGATATCAGAATATTAATAAGGGACAATTTCAAATATAAAAAGTGATCAGTCTTCTGTCACAACCAAATTCTAGTTACAAGGCTATAATATACCTGACACCTTCTGGAAGGTGTGGGGCAGAAGAAGGTATATTCTCTCTCATATTAAATATTATACTTTAGCACAATGATGTCATTAGATACCTGTCTCCAATATCCATGTATTTGTGGGGAGACAGTTGGTATTAACTACGTGCTACGCTGAGAAGTCTGGCCAGAGCTACGGAGTTGTCTGTTTGACCTCTATTTGCCCTTTCTACCAGCGACTGAAACCAGAATTTCCAGCCCAAACTCAAATAACTGTATGACTCACAGACTTCTAAGGCAAAAGCATTCTGAGAGCACGGAAGGGGGGGGCCTGAAGGCCTTGTGCCCTTTCTTCAGTTCGTGTGGGAGGGCCCTGGTTGGTCCGAGGACCAAACGGAGCACGACCCAAAAGCCCAGAGGCGGCCCCGAGTCTGCAGCCGGGGAGACGGCCTCGCCGCCGCCCG